TGCAAGGACTTGGGAGTGGAACATAATATTTTAACAAGCATGACTAATTGAGTCTTAAATTTCTAATCTGGCTCCTCTTCCCCTTAACTTTTTTTTTTCATGGTTGTTATAAAGAGTTCTAAGAAGCTGGCATGGTGATGCATGACTGTAGTACAAGCTACTTAGGAGGTTGAAGGAGTCAGACCATTTAAACCCAGGAGTTTGAAATTAGTTTTGGGAAAACTGTGAGGCCCTGTGTCAACTACATTTCATAAAATAAGCTCTGGGGTCACAATGATTCTAACACTATTTACATAAGATAAAAAAATTATACACACACTCAAATCAAGTCTCTTTTCATTGCTGCTTCCTCTTTAATTCTAAGAAATTCACCCTTTTTCTGAAAGTGCACTGCCTAGCATTAAACATTTCTAAGCAACAGAGAAACATTGTTTATATTAAATATTGGTTATAGTTTATTGTCAACTTGTTTTTCTTTTATTTCCCCTTGGAAAAATACCATAAATGGGTATTTTTCTAAATTTCAGGGAGAAATCAATGTGTGGTTTCAAATACTGTTCTTAATTGACCAAAATTTGTACATTTGTGTTCAAATTTATGTTTGTATCTATAGTCCCAGACACTTGTGGAATACTTTTATTTCTGAAACAAAAATAAGATCTCATCCTGAACTATATTATTTTCCCCATCAGTCTTTTAAAGGTAACATCATTCAATTTAATAGCAAGCAGAAAATAATAATGGGTTTACACTGTACTTTTTAAAAAGGGACTATAAAAATTTTTTCTACTCTCCTTTTTATCATTAACATCTGATATCGTAATTTGCCCTAATTCTCAATGCTGTATTTCCAGCATGGTCCCCTGATTGTCATGAGGCCAGATATAAGTATCCATATATCTGTACAACCATCAAGTTCCCTATAGATCTGAAAGTATACATTAATACAGATCCAATTGCTTCTATTTGCTCTTAATTTTTGTTTCTTTGTTTGTTGGTCATTTGACAGTGGAACTACTTGCACCTAGACATAGTTCGTTATTTTAGAACGAAAATATTCACCTCATCTTATGTGAAACTCAGCTTTCAATTTTTGAAATGATTATCATATTATACTTAGAAAGAAGCAGAAAAATCTACAGAAAAATATAATTTCTGATTTCTATTTTCTTAATATCACATACATTTATAACGGTATAAACCCATCTGTTTAATCACTGTCATAACCCAAGAGTCTGGCACATGCCTGCAACCCCAGCCTCAGAAAGCTGAGCATAAAGAGTAGGAGCTCAAGGCAAGCCTGGGCTACATTGTGAGACCCTGTCTCAAAATGACAAAACAATAAAAATCAACAATATGGAAGCATCTTTATGAAGTAAAGGTGACTGCAACCTGTATCTCTTTCAGACTCTTGAGCATTTTAACATGGCAGTGGCCATTATTTTATTTTCATAACAGGACGGGATCAAGTTACTTGTCTAACATGCACTGTATGTTATTCTCTGCATTTCCTGAATCCCTGTTTGTAATCCTAGCAGGCAGAATCTTTTTATTTCAAAAGAATTCTACCACGTTCTTGACTTTATTTCACTAGAAGCAGGGTGCGTGTGAAATTTTATGAATGAATATCTTCATCACTTTAAGGCTTTTCACTTCCTTTCTTCCCTCCCCTCTTTCCTAGATGCAAAGACAGCTGAATGAAGAACAGAATTGTACTTCAAGCTATATTGTCAACATCTGCACAACAGCCAAGGGCTTGTCACCGTTCCAGCAATGTGTAGTACTGTGCAGCCACTCAAAAGACAAAACCTTTTTTATTTCCAAGCTGCTTTTTACTTCTTCATTGTGTGGAGTTGGAAAGATAATAATACACCTCCTGGCTAAAAGGATAACTTTCACAAGTTCCTGGAAGCACAATGAGAGGCAAAAGAACCCATTTGAGGCGAGAAGAATGCAATTAGGAGAATGTACATTGTAATCCACTTTACATTTTAGGTTCTTGCAAATGTACAAAAAGGCTTTCTGTTTAAATTAAAAGCGGTGTACAAAATCTGTTCTTTTGTGAATTTATAGCCTGCCGTTTTCTATATAGTTCAACGTTTATTAAACGGCTATGTGTGCAAAGCATCATTTAGCTATAAGATGGGTACAAATAAATCACAAGGCTGCTTTGGCTACCAGCTCATAGTCATAGGTTTTATCCTCCTTAAAAAGCAGCTGTTACGAAATGCCTGAAGAAAACAGTTGAGGAAAAGCTATTTTATAACAGTCTTGGGACTCATTAGGCATTCTTTGGCAGCAAGGGAAATCAGAGAAATGAAGTGCCTCTTCCAAACAGAGTGAGCATGCAGTTGCCACCTCTACCCCAGCCCTAGACCCATTCTCTCACCACCATTTTCCCAGCAGCCCTTCACTGACAATTTTTATAGAGTCTCCAGGTTCATCCCTATACATGGCAGCAGAACAGGAACTGGAAAACACTCTCACACCTCTACTGCTCTGGCCCAAAGGTTTAATGTTTTCACTTTTTCAAATGATGTCTTTGGGTCACAGTAACTCCTTCCTACAGCAGCACCCACAGAGGTGACCCTTACACAAACTGCAAGTATCTATTGCTCTACCTGTAGCACTTCCTTTTTCAACTGTGAAGCAATTGCTTCCCATGGCTCTCTGAACAAGAACCTGTAAGCAGTGTGGAATTATTATACAGTAAATTGCATTGTAAGCAGCTTGCGTCTTTGTTTCTAGGTAGACTGACTGCAGCACCTGGACAGAAAAACTGCACCAGGCTTTATTAGGTGCAAAGCAATACTTTCCTTCCTTCCCAGTTTCTACAGCGTAGGAGAAGTAAAAAACACAGGGGAGTAGAATACTTATCAGATGAATTATAGACAAAAGTCTATTTAGGCTATGGCTAGAGATGTTATGTAGATATGAAAAGTATTTCCCCCAAAGCATTAGAAAATAGAAAGCTTAAATTGATTTAGTGTTTAATGCTTATGAAAGACTAAATTTGCATAGGCAAGAGAGAAAATGTGACTGTGATCAGTAAAAAAGGCAAGCTCATTGCTCAACACGCCTTTCATGGGAAGGAGGGACTATGTGGCTGAACCCTGGCAAGTGTTGGTGTCCAGTCCTTCGTTCAGGTATCTCACCAGTCTGCTTGCCTCCCGCCCTAGCAGTCATCACCCAGGGAGTCACTAATGAAAGCAAGACGCCAGCACTGTGATAAATCACCAACCATTTCAAAATGAAATCTTGCAGCTGTTTTATTTTAATTGATGCTTTCTCATGAACGTTACATACTCATATGGAAAGGCTGTGGGATCAGAGGCCAGTTTATAAGGAGTAATTAAGAATATCTAAGAAGAGAACTCGCTAAAAACACGTTAGAACAAAAATTCTTCACGTTTACATGTGTGTATCCTTATCAATAAACAGTGTTCTGAAAAACACAAAGTAGGTGGACCATAACCATTAGAAAACAGCACAACTAACAGCCTATTAAAGTTCAAAAGTCCCCTTGCTTCAATTTATCTTCTTATTATAGCAGCAGACTGAGTGCTAAAAACTACAGCTACCCTTTATACTGCTCCCCTACAACGTACTACCCTCATGTCCTTTGGCCCCAGGTAAGAAAAGCAAGCTGCCCAAAAGTATTGACCCAGAGACGCGCTTCTGCTGCGGTCCTACTCAGCATCCCACGGAAATGAGAAAGTTAGTTGTTATCGAAAGCCTTTGCCAAAGACATGCCATGCAAGCAGTTCCTTTAAAAAAGAAAGAGCAGAAGGGAGAAGAGAGGAAAGAGAAGGAAAAGAGGAAAAGCAAAACTTTAAAAAAAAAAAAACGCAACAAGTTGCAGTGTTAATTTCCCTTCTACTTGGCATTTCGCGGGAGTGGAAAAAGTTTAAAAAGCAGCGCATTTCCCCGGCGTCTTAGCCAGGCAGCCAGTGTCGCGAACCCAAAGTCCTGTCCAGTCTTACCTTCTGCCGCTAGCACAAACCCAGAGGCTAAGGGGCTGCTCTCAGTGGCAGCGGTAGGGGCACAGGCAGCAAACAGCGGCACATGCCATCTGTTAGCAGGAGAAGCAAGAAAAAAAGAAGCAGCCCTGCGTGAGGTGGCCCCGGGGCCGGGAGAGCCTTTAGCAGGGGTGTCTAGTGAATGCCGCCATTTTAAAGCGAGGTTCCTGAAATCATTAGATATAAGCAAATTAAAGCCCGCCCCACCTCCAGAACTTCGGGCCGGGACGTGCCACGGGCCTCCGAGTCCGGCGGTGGCAGCGGGGTGTCCAATGTCAAGTCCAGCAACAGGCACTGGGGACTCCGAGGAGCCCGACCACACCCCCCCCAGGTGCCATACCCCCCTCCGTCCCCGCCCCCGTCCCCCCACGCTTTGGCCTCCGGCAGGGAGACGAGGCTAGTCCCCCCACCCCCGCCCCCGTCGTTGGCCCGCTGGCTGGAGGAGGGGCCCCGGAGCCCGGCCTTCCCCCCCCCCCCACCTTCTCCGCTTG